ATGTTTGGACCGAACACACAATTCATAAAACTGATATGTATATAAAACTACCTCTGATAGCTTCACCCATTCCCATGTCTCGCTTTCGGTCTCCATGTCATAAAGAAGACGATGTCGTCCCTGAATAGGGTACAAGTATAAACAGCATTCACCAACCCGGATAGTAACAACAACTCAGTTGAATCTACAAGAGTAAGGTTTGGGGAGGGTGTGTGTACGCAAACGTTACCCCTACTTGGAAGTAAAGTACAATCTCAAACAGAAGGGATTGCAAAAAATACATTTATTTATTATTGATATGAACCATCAAAAGGCAAATTTATATTAACCTTCCATTAGTACGTTAATGGTATTGGATTACATGTAATCCATCCATTTGTAACACCCGGATGCTTACCGGTCCACCTGTTTTTTTCTTAAATGCAATAGATATCCTTCGGTAAAAACGATAATGTTTATATGATGGATTTTATAAAATAGATCATGGACATTGATCTTATATGTCATAAATGGATTAACATATTGTTTACAATCTACCCCTTATGATCCGAATTATAATTTATTTAGTCCATCCATTTTCTATGAAGACGGAAGAAGATTAAAATAAAAGAGGCACACCTGTGTTGGGTCATAATCAGTAATGACAGCCTCGTAGAAATTATTGTCATCGGGCCACCTAGTCCTCAGTTTCCTCCCAATCATTGATTCATTAGACACTCCGTCAGCAGGCTGAGAAATCCGATTGGAAAACTGACCTCTCCCAGATGGAGGAAATTGCATTTTCGTACCAGGCGGCATCTGACCATTTAAAAGAATTAGACACCAGATGAGAAAACGAAAACTAACTTGGAAAGATCCAACTTCAGCTTACAGATTTGTGTTTTTTCCCCTTGGGTCCCATTAAAGGTCCTCTCTTTGGAGCAGCAGGAGCCAAGGAAGGTGGTTGGTTCTGTGTAATCATAGTCTGTGGGTGAAAACTGGGTGATGGCCCACCAAAGGATTGAGGGGGTAAAGACGGGGGTATTTTCTGTTTCTTTCTAGGAGCTGAAACTGAAGGGCTGGGTACTGGATCATGAACAGGTTGAACAGTGCTCATTATGCCTTGCTGATTCACACCAGATTGTCTCCACTCCCTAACCAAATTGGCAAAACATCAAAACCAAGACTCAGATTTTTAAGAGTATCTGGGAACTGGAAAATGCTTATGAGTGAAAATAGAAGTGAATTTCGGAAGGAAAGATAAACACTTCGTTAAAATACAAGAAATCAATTTAAGTTATTTGTTCAAACTCATTTTTGTGTGTTTATTTCTACAATATAAACTTCAAAGACTAAGACATCTAAAAATATGCACAACTTTAAAATGTTTTAATCACATCTGATTTGCCTTTATATTTTCTTAGATAAACCAAATATTAAAAAAACTTTTCCATGGCATTTTGTTTCCTTCCCCTACCATTTTATGTGCTCCAAACATAGCCTAAAGGAAGTGGGAAAGAAGTTAACCGTATTCTTCGGATAACATCATCCGAATTGACTCGACCAAGAAGCTCCCTGTGTTCTTCATTTGACAATCTCAGTTCTTTTCTAAGCTCAGTTATCAAACTTTCCTTTTCCTGAAGAAAACACATTTCATTAAGGATTCATTTAAACCCTGATCAAACAAATTTAAAAATATTAGAATCAGAATAGAAAATACAAACAATAAAGCATACCCAAGTAATGGCATCTGCCTGTGCCTTAAAGGCTCTAAGAACTGAACTGTAAGCTTCTTGCTCAAGCTGGTGGATTTGAGCCTCCATATCAGTTTCTCCATACCCTTTGGGATAAGGCATCGGAGCCATGACAGCAGAAGATCTTCCATTACCAGCAACCCGTCCTCCTCTGGGAATTCTATTTTGATGTGTGGGCGGAAGATCATCATCAGTCCCTACAGGGATGAAAAAAACACTGTACATTGAACCCATATTTTTCATGAATTTGCATGAAAATTGTTCATGTTTTTAAACTAAACGGCGTAAACTCTACCAAGCTCTCCACTTCGCACACAAAGTAATTGTTAATAATCATAACAACCACTGCCCAATTCTAACTATTCCACTTCTGATTGCTCCTTTCACTGCCCAATTCACAATTTCTAAGACTGGAATTCCATACCCACATTTTGTAACCAAACTGAGATACTCTTCTTTTTTCTTTCCATTTCAAGAATTGCGAGAATTCAATCCTAGCGCGCATTGAGTGAATAAAAAAGAAAAATTGTAGCCGCAGCGCAAAACCCTAAAGATTTCCTTCAAAGATCAGACATTTATGCTACTAGAACTGAATTACTACTCACCGCTGCTGTCGTACGCCCCGTACTCCATAGCCAGCTCGCAGGCGAGCTTCGAGAAACCCTAGCCGGCTATGCTTCGCCTGAAAGGTTTCCGAAAATCCAGGAAAACCCGCAGAACAGAGGAGAGGTTCAAGAAACTGGCAAATTGAAGGCGGGAAAGAGGGGATTAGGGTTTAGAAACAGGCGATTCAGCTCTGTGATTCAGCGAGATAGCGAAGACAGACAAGGGCGAGAATGAATTGGGAAATCCGGACGTGAAACTGTTTTCTTAATTCGGGTTAATTTTCGGAACCCATATCCGAATTGGGTTTTTTCCCCTGTTCGGATCTCACTTAGCTCGGCTGTGTAGGATTGCGGTTCAGAATTGGAACCCGAACCGGACTGAGCATTGAGGGTTCTGAAATTGTGGGTACTAGAAACAAATTCAATTTAAAAAATTACTACTTCCGTCCTAGAGTTTTCGTCTAGTTTGACTTTATTGAATCAAATTTAACTATCTTTGAGACTTAATTAAGAACTATAATCTATTTAGTATAAAAGTGATTTTTAGTATATTTAACTTGTTTAGAACTTTAAAAAAATTATTTCATTTAACTTGTTTTTCTAGTTTGACTCGAAAAAGTTAAACTGGACGAATATTTTGGAACGGAGAGTAGAAGTTATCGTTGCATTTTCTATATTTTAAATTCAGAATCGAAATTGTTCCAATTTATTTATTTTATTTATTTATACTCATATTAATTTAATAGAAAACTAATTTTGTGACAATAATTGTATTGTATGTTCTAGTATATTTATGTTTTCCAAAATTATACTCCTTCCGTCCCAAATTATTTGCAACGTTTGCTTTTTCAGCAGTCGCGGAAATTTTTGTTTATTTCTATGTTTTCATTGGTTATTTGATAAAATAAAATATTTTTTACACCTCTTATTTTGAAGAACTTTTCATGTAGTTTTTTGATATGTAAATTTTATTTTGTATTTCTATACCAACATGTAAATAAAATGAATTAAAAAGGGTTGATATTTTGCATCGAAAATACAAATGTGGTAAATATTTAGGGACAGAGGGAGTATACCATTTGAAACTAAGTTCGGAACTCTATCAATAACAAGAGGATCAGAGTAATTGGATTTAATCATTCATTTGAATCAAACTGGACAAACTTTGAACTTCAATTAAATAAAAACCATAAAGTATAAATGTATTTTAACATAAAAATGACTTTATTAGATTTATCGTATTGAGAACTTTCAGAATTGTATTTCATTATGCTAATACACAATATAAATCAAGAGTATTTGGAGTTCAAAGTTCGTCCAATTGGACTCGAAAGAATGAAACTGGACAAATACATTGAAACACGAGAGGGTCAGAGTATTTGGGTTTAACCATTCATTTGGTTGGTTAGGTTTTGGTTATCCTTAATTGGGCGGCTTCAACCATTCATTTGTTTGTTACAAACTGATCCCTCAGTCTCGTTTTAAATCGTCTGTTTTGATTTTTGAGCATATATAAAAAAAAGAAAAAATAGAATTGATTTTTTCGAAATGATCATTACTCTTTAAAAGGGGTGACTATGAATTAGAAGATAAGGCGAAAAAGGATGATTTATTTTAGGAGTAGTTTAGGTATTTTATTTTTAAAAATTTACGATAACAACTAACAAATGAAATTTTCTAGATGATTGCTCTTACCCTATTACTCTATTTCATTCATCCCTCCAAAATTCTTTTGTTAAAATATAAAAAATTTCTCTCGGACATTACAAACACAAGCTTGAATTCATGGTTAGAGTTATTTTTTTTAATAATATCGAAGTCTAATTAACAACTCCCTCCATCTCAATTTTGACTGAAATTATTTTCAAATCATTTTATATAAAAATGGTATAGATTTAAAAACAAAAATTACGTATTTAAAAACAACATCGAAATATCTACAAACTAATGGTGACATAACTATATCGTTTTATTTATTTACAAACGAAAATAAAAAGAAGTAAATGAAATTTAATTCTATAAATAGTACTCCCTCTGTCCCAAATTATAATGCCTGTTTACTATTCACAGGGTCAAATTTCATTCACTTTCTTTCTCTATTTTCGTTAGCAATTTGATAAAATAAAATATTATTGTCACTACTAGTTTTGTAGATCTTTTGATGTAATTTTTTAATATGTAATTTTTATTTTTTAATTCTATACCATTTGTCATATAAAATGGTTTGAAAATAATTTCAGTCAAACATCGTAAACCGAAACAGGCGTTATAAATTGGGACGGAGGTAGTAAAAAACAACTTAATTTTAGACGGAGGGAGTTAGAAGTTACCGGCATTTTCACATCTAACGCAAAGTTAGAGCCTTTAGAGGAATGATGGAATGCGACATGTAATTTACGTCATCATTAATGGACTTGATCCTTTTTATTAAAAAAAAACTACGCTGGGTAATTTAGGGAAAAAAACAATGCCTCATATAACATACTTCCTCTGTCCCAATTTAAATTATATTTTTTAATTTACGATATTTAATTAAAATTATTTTATGTGAAACATGGTGTAGAATTAAAAAATAAATAATTACATATCAAAGTATAACATCAAAAGACCTACTGAAGTACAAAACTATCAGTGAATGAATAACAGTGAATTGTGCATAAAGACTCATATTAGCATATGTGGATAGTTCTTCACAAAGATAAGGCTCACATCATGCAGAAATGTAATTATCAGAGGGCAAAAAAGTTACTACTCTCTACACAACAAATTCAACATCACAGACAGCTCAGATCACCACCATTCTTTTCTCTTCTTTTTTTTCCTTCTCTTTACAATACTATTATTATGACACTAGAAATCATGTTATATTAGGAATTATTAAGTAGAGCAGTAGAGGGCAGCCTGCTGAAGTTGACTGTTTTCATGACTTTGCTCAGAAGCCTGCCCACCCAGCAGGTTGGGAAGACGATCTGTTCCCCGTGCCCTTCATCATAGAAGTGTTGAGTTCTTTAAAAGAAGGGTTCACCTGAGAGGTAACGGAAGGAAGTGCCGTGAAACTGTCATTTCCGAATCCCCAACTTGTATCAGAAGCCTCCTTGTTGTTGTTGTTGTTGTTGTTATCCCGTGTCCTCATAGACCGTGGCGTTTTGCTAGGAGGATTTGTGGGTGGTTTACGGCAGTTGTCGTCCGAGAAGGCCTGCCATGGCTTAGGGTCATCTGGACTTGATGGGCTCTGGTTGAACAATCCTTGTTGGAGTTCCCAAATGGTTCCTTTGATGCTTTCTCCTTGCTGCACAATAAGAAACGGTGCAAAAGCTAAAGCCATAGTGAAATGCAAATAAAAAAATAAGGGGAATTAGATGGCCAACGCCGAGCATGGGGGGCACATATTTTGGGATCAACTCAAACATGTTCCCGGGTCTAGCTTAAGCTCAGCTTGTTAAGGTTTCATGGTAGGACTCCAATGGTTCCAAGCTCAATAGCCCGAGCCAAACAAGTTCATGAGCAACATACGAGTGAAGGGACAATTATGCCCCAATTACCAGTGCAAACAAATTTTAGAGTGATCAAATTGTGTATGAGTATAGGGCCCATTTGGCTTCAGCAATAGATATTAGAGTTAGCATTTCTAAGAGGCTATCTAATAACTGCTTTAGCATTTTCAAAGCAACTCTACACTACTAAATTGTATCCAAAACGCTAACGCTAATCGAAAGCGTTGTTCACAAACAAGGCCATAGTATCGAGTAAACAAGATCTATTAAACCTTAACTAGCCGAGACATGTTGAGCTTAGGCCAGGCTCATAGTAAGCAAAGCCGAACCTAGCCGAGCCATGTGGATTTGAACCATGTACGTCTAGTACACATGTGGAGAGACCCAACTCAACGGACCCACCATTCATGCAAGGCCTGCCCTTTGAATGCAAAAAAAAATCCTTCCGTCCCAAAATAGAGTTTAAGAAAATGTTGGAAAGAAAAAAAGTGCATGGTTGAAATTGGTTTAGAAGATAGAAATTTTGTGAGCCACAAATTCTTTTCCTTAATAGGAAAGTGAAAAGGAGTAGAGTGTAGACTTCATTTTGGGACATCCAAAAAAGAAAAGTCTAAACTTTATTTTAGGATGAAGGGAGTAACAAGGCAAAGAGGACTAGAGAAGTACATGTGTAGTAGTGCTGAATGTTTGATTTGAAAGAGACGTTTGGTTTTTGGAGGCATCTTTATTCGGCGATGGAGTTTTAGCAGCAAGAACTTGTTTAAGTTCTTGTATCTCCTGTCGTTGTGAGCGACATATGGCGGATAGTTTTGCATATTTAGAAGTTATTTCAGCTTTCTCCATGTTGGCATGTGTCAGCTGCTCCTTCAGCTTTTCGACCTCAGCCTCTAATACTTCTTCTTTCCCAGATTTCTTAGCATTGCCTTCAGAACCGAGTTCATTGCTGCTAAACTCCGCCACAAAAGCATTGAATGATTTATCTCTTTCATTATTTTGGTCAGAATTACCGTCGAAAAAAATTGTTTCAGAATCTGCAGCATCCCTTGCTCTGTTGACTGCCCTTGAAGAACTTGTTCTATTATAGCTACTCAATTCTTCATCATACCTAGGTCTAGTTTTGTCATCTGGGACTACATCCTTTGCATGTTCAGTGTTCCAAAAAGCACCTAAAGGGTCATTGGCCCCATGCATCCCAGGGTTATGAGACTGTGGTGAATTACGGTTTGTCTCTCCAGCAGAAGGGGGAGGTGGTGGTGGAGTTCTTCGAGGCACTGGATTTGTCTTGGTTGCTGTTTTTGGAGTACCTGAAATAACAACTGTTTCAACATTACAAAATATTCTAAGTTTTCAACCATTGTTGTTTAATAGAGTACAAAGCTAACCAGAAAGGTTCAGTTGAAGATGGATAATTAAAATAACTGGATTTCTAAAAATGTACCCCCTTCATCTTTAAATAAAGTTCCTACTTTCCTTTTATGCATGTATCCAAATCAAGTCATTTTCTTTATTTGGCAAAAAAAATAAATTTACTACAATGTCCTAGTGGACCTTACCTACCATCATTTCTACTCCCAGCCACTAATCTAAGGGGAAATTTAGAAGTCAAATAGCAGGAAAAAATTGTATAAATTTATGCCAAGCCACACTTAGATCCTGAATAAGCACGATGAGCAGCCAAATATAGGTAGTTATCAAACAACCTGTAAGGTTCAAGTCATCGCAATATTACAACCAATTAATGGTTAAACGTTAACTAGGCATTGCTTTGTTGAAAATTCCAATATCCAGCATCCTAAAACAATGATCTGATACAAAGAGGGGAACTCACCATCGTGCAAATCAGCCACTTGTTGCATCATTTCGGGAGCTCTATCAGGAAATGATTTCTGTATCCCATCGGGTAACAAATTGTTAGCACGGAACCACACCTGAGCCACAAAAAAAGGGAAAAGGTGTGAGGACAGCTTTAGAGTACAGTCAGCCCTTCTTACTTTCATGGGCAGCTCTGATCTACTAACTAACCTAAATTCATGCAGATGAATGTCCAATCGATCAAAGCGCTTGCCTGCATGATATCTGGTCGGGCATCTGGCGAAGATTGTAACATATCCCGAATAAGGTCTACAATGGCGGTGCTGTATTTTGGTAATTCTGGAATGCGGTAATTCCCGTTCAAGATTTGTAGTTTTGATTCACCATCAAATGCAGACTTGAAATAGCATATACGGAACAGTAGGCAACCTAAAGCCTGTCCATAATAGTCCAAGTAAACAAATGATGATAAAACCTGGACTAAAACATTTTTTCTTTCTTGAATATATAGGAAATTTTATTTTCAATGCCTACATATATATTGTTTGTTATTTAACAAAGTTATTTACAGTTTTACATCATTTTCTTTTAGTCTCTCCATCAACCTCCAATAAAAAATAAAAAAAATGACGCCGATGTGGGTCACAGATTTCCAACACGGCTTTCCACATCTTTTTTAAAAGAGCATGAGAGAGGCATGATTTGAAAGTGTGAGTGGTGAGTTTCACTTAGCTATAACTCCCCTAGTAGTCGTCAAGGAGTTACTGAAAAAAGCAAGACTCGAGGTTTTAGAAGCAAATGTCAGTTTTATTTACAGAGGTTGATGGAGGGGAGCTGAAAAGAGAAAAAAGTGTAAATTACAGAGATGGATAACAAAAAAAGAATTTTAGAAAAATTTAACCATTTTTTGTAAATATACGGAGTATTTATATGTACAAAAAGCATAGTTAATCCTATAAATTATCGAGCTTTTAAATTTTCATTGAGGTTAAGATCTACGTCAGTTTGTTGCGCATTAGTAAGAGTAAGACAACTTACCCATATGTCTACTTTCTCATTTATCAGTTCTTTTCTGTAAAGATCCCACATCTGAGGTGTAAAAAGAACATAGTTAAGTCAATCGCTCAATGCCCAACAAAAATAATAGGTGTAGAAATAGATCATGGCAACTCAATAACCTCTGGGGCTCTATAAGCAGGTGTAGTGTGTTTCCTAATATTATCTTCTTCAATCCCCATCTCTGCAGGCTTCTCAAACCGTTTGTGATTCGTAGTGGTACTACCAAAATCACATAGTTTCCAAAATCCATCGGAGCCTAGCAAAAGATTCTCTGCCTTCAAGTCCCTGCAGGTTAAAATCATCAAAGAATCTTTAGTGTTTAAAAAAAAAATAGTGTAGGGTGACTAAAAATATTTTGGAGAAAATGTAATGGTTTCTTTACCGTAAATGTTAAATTTACCTGTGGGCAATAGGGGGAGATTGTCCATGCATAGCAAAGACAGCATTACAAACATCTCTAAAAATTGTCAATATCTGTTTTTCATCAAAATAACCAGACCCCCTTCCCTCAAGTACACTAACTAGAGTTTTTTCACAATATTCCATGCAAATTAGAGCTTCCTTGGTGCGTCCCATGTCTAAGATCATATGAGCACAAAGTGTGACAATATTAGGGTGCCCCTTAAGTGATTTCATGACATAGATCTCTTTCAGCACTAGTTCCAAAGACTCGTCATCATTACATATCATGTGCTTCAATGCATATTGTTTTGAGCCATGGACTGCATCTCGGGCCAGATAAACACAAGAGAACCCACCCTCTGCGATTATGTTGCGAACATGAACTTTGAGATTGCCAACATCAATGGTGCGGCCTTCAAGTCCGCTCTGTTCCTTATGGGCAAAATGCTTAAACCGCCACATGCTTTGTTACCTGTAGAAGAATCAGAAAGACTATTTTGCCAATACAGGGAACAATGCCAGACATTTGAAGATCTAATGGACAACAGATATTAAAAAAGTAATACGGCCCACAAACAGCCTCTCTACTCGAAGAATAGGTAAGATTTGTGTAGATCTTGCCCCCAAACATACTCTCAAGTGGATATAGTGTTTGTTCATGAAAAACAAATAGGGGCAACATGTCAGTGAAATCAAAAAATCAATGTGGCATTAAACTTATTAGGTAATGATATCTACATATAACAATGCAGTTTATTGCCAATTTTCCTGCAAAAACTGACTCAAGAAGCAGCGGGAATGATAAAATTAGGCTCTCCAGTAAAAGAAGCCCTCATGCTGATAGTGGAGTATCTCTCTCTTCTTTATAATTAGCTTCAGTTTTTTGTCTTTTATGATTTTCAATAAAATGTACAATGTACAATGGGGAGCAGGAGTTGAGCAACAGAAAACAATTATTTACTACTTAAGGAATAACTATAGCAATAATGATAGCTTTTAGACATTTATGGCTCCCAATAATAAGATCCATTTTTTTCTTATTTGTAATTCCCTCCCAAAGAGAATCTTTGGATGAAAATAGTTAGTGATCTCACTGTATAAATTGAAGTAAAAAAGTTCACTTCTTTCACACTAGCAATCCAACATCTCAGCTAATAACTTCATTTTCCCTAAGCAATAGAAAAATCTGAAATGAATTGATTTTTTTAAAAAAAACACAGAAGATGAATTAGATAGTCCTAGTATCCAAAACACCGCCAAAGAACAAATCACTCTGTTATTTTAAAAAATTAAAAATTGACGGAAAACAACAAAAAAAAAAAGAAAAACCCTGTCTCAAACGCGAAAAGCAGATTCATACACATCTTCAGAAATACAGGTCGAACAGAAGATCTGCACAGTAGTGTTTCAGATTTGGAATCCGGTCCACAGATCTAAAAGTTACATTAATGATGGAAACATCTAATAATCGTGCTCCATTTCTGGGTAATAATCGAAACAGGACATAATTTTTTATAGAAAAGTGTTTGATAAAGTTAGAAGTTGAAGCAGGGAAGAGTGGCGATGAGCTTAGATAACGAATGAAATACCTGAAAATGGAAGAAGAGTGAGATTGTGTAAGACAATGGCCAGTGCCGAAGAAGGGAAGCTTGTGGAAATGATTTGTTAGAGAAGGATTAGATAAATAATTTCCAAAAAAAAATGCTAATGAGTGAAATACTTTTAAATGTAATCATTCTAACTTTTTTTTACTTGGAAGTACGTATTAGTTACTCCATCCAATCTATTCTCTAGAGAAATAGATATAACGTTAAAAATATATCAAAATAGAACTTGCATGTTTTCATTTCTGAAATAGGTCTTACATTGTCATACATGGTCGTCGATGGGATAACCCTACGACAGCCTAGGGTTGACGTCAGCACGTGCCTTTCCAAAAGAGAAGCATTGGGCTTGGACATCTCCGCTCGGCACCCGAGTTCCGCTCGGCCCTCCCGGCTCAACGCGTGAGCTCTGCCCGGCTTGGCTCGGCCTGCCAAGCCGAGCCTGGACCACATGAAAACGACATAAAGATAGCGACTTGCAATAGGGACTTAGTGAAAGCGATAAGATGAAAGGGACAAGACTAAGGGACACGTGACGTCCGCTAGCCGACGAACCTTGATCAGAGGACTTTGACTAAGTGTATTGTATCCCCTATAAAACGGGTGAAACCCCTCATTTTAAAGAATCTGAATTCTAAGTGAATATACTCCTATTTTGCATTCTCTCTCTCTAAAACTTATACTATTCAATATATTCGGTGGTTTTTAGCCATCAAATTGGTGCTTTCATTGAGAGCTGAGAAGCATACTCGTAGGTTAACTCCCGGAAGCGAGAATGGTGCAAACAAGGAGCAACGTTACTACCACTAGCCACGTCGTAGGCGAGGAAAATGCACCGGGAAGCGGCAACGACATAGGAGGTATTACCTCGACTCTGGATGCGGTCCAGGCATTATTCGGTATGGGGGTGACCACGGAGCAGCTCCAGGCTGCCGTTGCGGCACTCTCCGCTATGGGCGGGAACGTGCCCAGCACAGGAGCTGGCCGAGCTCTGCTCGATCCCCATACGGAGCACGCCGCCACTTTCCAGCACAAGGGGAAGACGTCCTCGAAGGAGAAGAAGACGATGAGTCCAGCGAGTGCCGAGTATCAGCCTTCAAACACCTAGGGGTGAGGAGACTCGAGTGTTGGCTTTTGACAGGCTTAACCGCGGACCAGAAGGCCGCCCGGGTGACCTCCGCCGATAAATATCCGAAGGCAGGCGGAGGCATGCTGAGGAGTCTGCAACGTCGGACGCACGCTCGGCAAGGCTGGAGCGCGGCGAAGGCCAACAGGACGAGCGGACCCAACGTTGCCAAAGCCCGACAAGAACTGAGAAGACGAAGGTCTCCGACCAGGGTATGTCCCGCCTCGCGCGCGAAATCACTGAGCTCAAGCGCCGAGTGGAGACGAAGACGCCCTATAGCCAACCCATCTTGCGAACGGTGACCACGTTCACTCTAAGGGTTATGTCGATTCCGCTGCCAGCAAACTTCCGGCCGTGGCAGATCAAGGCCTACAGCGGAACGATGAACCCCCAAGATCATATGTCTAAGTTCTACGTTTCGATGGAGGCAGCGGCAGCCCCGGACGAGGTCAAGTGCCGATGTTTCCTCGCGACGCTGGAAGGCTCCGCGTGCAATTGTTTCAACCGGCTCCCAAAGGGAACCATTGACGATTGGGATACGCTAGCGGAGAAGTTCCTGACGCAGTTTGCGGCCAACATGAGGCAAAGGCTGCCCTACTCCCACCTCCTCGACATCTGCATCCGCAAAGGAGAGAAGGTCCAAGATTTTATAGTCCGGTGGGAGAAGGAAGCCAAAGACATGCATGGGGTGGATGACTAAGCTTTGGTGGCAATGTTCCAAGCAGCCCTTCCCCGCTGAGAGGTGAGGAAGGAGCTCCGCAGGAATCCTCCNCGCTAAGTTCTTGGCCTCGAAGGAGTTCGACAATACCCCTGACTCTGAGGCCGCGCCGGCCAAGCGAGCTCCCGCGGACTCGGGAGAGATCGCGAAGAAAAGGAGGAAGAAAAAGGACTACACTGTGGGCCCTAGGACGCCCTCGGCTGGTGTGCTAACATTGCATGAAGTGTTTGAAAATTATGATATGATAAGATGAAAACGAGAATCTAAAAAATGTATAGACCGAGAGTGATGCATGCGTACTCACAAAATTCACCTTTAAAATGTAGGCTTTCTCATAAATATATTTTATAATATTGTAAAAGATTTACTTCTTTTATGCGACAAATAGACTAAAGTTTATAAAATAAGCATGAACCTTATCTCCACAGAAACTTTTTTCACTGATTTGGGAACATAATTTTTTTTGAAAAGTGAACATAATAAATACTCCGTAATTCACACTCCAAATCTTTCATTCTTAAGGTGATTTTCTGGTATGGGCCCTATAGTTTCAAAGCCCAAAATCCGAAATAGCCCAAATTGAAAACTTCGAAGTACAGAGTGTTTGGGTTTTCTTCAGTTTATCTCCTTCTATCTTTGCTAGCTCCGATTCTACAATAAACCGTTAAACCCTAACCCCCCTTTTGATTTCGACGGGAATGGGTGGCGGAGAAGCTCAGGCAGCGGCGGAAGCGCATTCCGAAGCTCAGTGCGAGGAGTGCAAATTGAATCCATGGCGATACAAATGCCCCGGATGTCTTCGCCGCACTTGCAGTCTCCCCTGCGTCAAAGCTCACAAGCAGAAATCTGGCTGCACCGGGAAGAAGCCCTTCAACGAAGTCGTTCCCATATCGCAGTTCGACGATAACCTCATCTTATCAGGTCGATTTCTTATTCCCGATGCTCCCGGATTTGCTTCCCCCTTTTCGCCCTTAATTTGCTGAGATAATGACAAAAAAATTTTCATATGGTTTTCTTAGTTCGAATTGATCTAATGGAAAAGCTTGTGTTTTTTTGTTTTGTTTTGCAGATTACAACATGCTTGAGGACGTGAAAAGGGTTGCAGATGCTGCTAGAATAATGAGAAGCAGATTTAGTATGTATCCTAGTTTCAATCTTCCGCGCCCTCTTCTTGCTCTTAGAAGGGCGGCATTTACTCGCAGAGTAACACTCGGTTTCATGTCTGCCGGATTGTCAAAGCGAGAAAAAAACCTAACTTATTACGATAAGAGGTAGTTTCGACCTTGCGGGATACCACCCGTTATGATGCTGATAGAAAATATTAGTTTAATTCTATCATTAGACCCAACATATCTATCATTTAATTTCCAGATTGAAGTTTATATCGTGGACTATAGAGTGGCAGTTCCATTCCAAGAATTCCAAGAACGATGTTGTCTTAATGGACCACGGGTAATAAATACATATTCTTTACCCTCACTGTTTGGTTTCTTACTAATTGTGTTTACATCGGTCAAAAGAAATCTTAATTCCAATGCGTCCAAACAAAATGCCATACCAAGTAATTTCATCCTTTATATAATGATTCTTTCTGATGCAGTGTAAATGAAAAGGCAAAGCTCCGGGATGTGATCGAGAAACATCTAAAACCTGGCCCTTGGAAGCACCCTTTGAAGCAATTTTGCGATGTGCCCTTGGACTCTCTTAAAGTGTTCATCCGGAAGCGTCACCAGGTTATTGCCTTTGCTGTTTTCTTTGAGACCATGGTCATATTGTATAAACTTTATTTGTTGGTTTAACTAAATTTATTTTATTGTACTCCATATTTAACCTGTCTGTAGTTCTCTTTTTGGAGAAATACATGAAAACACAGCTTCGATTGAAATATGACTCTTATTTTGAAAGTGCTATTGCTCAAATGCAGGGGAAAAAATCTCCTTACGTTCGGCTAGATATAAACACCCCACTACGCCAACAACTCTCTAATTTGGTCATCTTAGAATACCCTGTCTTCCATGTCTTTCTTCCATCACACCCCATTAAGTTTAAAGTTATCAAAAACTCCATCCGTCGGCAAGTGAAGCCTATGGATTTTGGTAAGAATGACAGCCCATCGAGTCACAAGGGAGTAACTTTCAAGGAAGAGGAGATAGAAGATGGTGAGTTTTCAGTTCCTCGTGTTCCGGAGCAAGCAAAGCCTATGGATTGTAGTAACAATGACAGCCCATTGAGTAATAAAGGAGTAACTTTTAAGGAGGAGATGATAGAAGATGACGACCCTTTGGATCATCGTGTTTCAGACCTCGTCCAAGATGCCGATGTTGATTTTATACCTAAAATTTCTTCCACTCAGGAAAAGGGAGCTAAAGAACAACCACTTTTGGATATTTCTTCTGATAAGGACTCAGGGGCCGTGGATATGGCTTTTCTTGACCAGATGGCATTCGAGTTTGACCCGAAGCTAATTGATCCATATACGAATCTGTTTGCAGGAGCCGATCCGGATGCTTACCTTGACGGGTTATTATCTGGTGATCAGTATGTGCTTGACGGGAATTGGGCAGATTTTGGTAATGGTATGCCGCCTGATGAAGAAGAATTAGAGGAAGGAGAAATTGCTCCTTGATTGCATCACAAATGGCTTTTCCCTTTTTGTTCATGTCACGAAGCCCATTTTGGCAGTGCTTTGACCAATCTCCGATCTTGATGAAAAAGCTCATTGCAAAACGTTGTCTCACAAAAGCCCGAATTTTGAGCTCCCCCCAAAAGGCTGTTTGAAGAAGTAAATTGCAGTGGCAGTTGTGTCTGGATCAGATTTTTGTGCAGCACAAACACTACAGCAGTAAGCAAATCAAAGCAGCCATGTAGTTGGGTCTGAAACAATGGCAAACACACTGCTATATGGGAGTGGACATGGCATATCAGTGAAGGGACTGATTGGTTTTAGGGCTTTTTTGGAGGAGGGAGAGTAGATATATTTATAAAAGTTTGCTATTTCAAGACTAGAGAGAGCTTTGTGTATTGCAATGAAAGCCAAGCTTTGAATCCGATTTCCTTCCACACCCATTCAATCCGTGGATGTGTCTATTATAACTCCAAGAGTCAGGCCGAGGATCATATGGCACGGCCTGGGTCGTAGCCTATGAGCTCGCTACCTGCCCTTGGCATTGGACATCTCTAGAGAATAGACTAAGAGTAGTGGCTTATATCCTTAACATTCTGTCGAGTTGGGGTGTGATTTACCTTCTTACTACTCTTTCAGGTCGTGAAAAAAAAAATCCTCACTAATCTCTCTCTACCCTCCCTCTCTTCCACATCATCAATTTTGTAGGTAATTTTTTATCCTACAAAAGTTTCCCAATAGTGGAAAAGTACTTTTCTCACACCACTCTCTTACTCCATTGAGAAAAAAAATTTCCTCATATTGTGTAATAAAAAAACTCTTAGAAAAAAATCAAGACCTCCCAAAATCTTATCAATGTGATCTATAAATTATTTCCACACACTAAATCTCTCCACCATGGTGAGTGGTCTTAGGCAATTGAATAAAACATTGAAAATACGTTAAAGAGTGTCATATTTTTATTTTCGAAGTATGAATTAAAATGCCACATTATCACATTGGTAACTCATATTTTGGATGGAAATAAAAACATGAAATTCTTGTTTTGATAATTTCTCTATTTTTTACTTTCATTTATGGTGATTTCTTAAATTTCATTTTATTTTGTGTAATGAGGCAAATATTTTTTAATAGAGCAAGTATTTGCCAAACATGCCATATAAATAAAGGTAAAAAATGTGAGTGATTAACTTGTAGGTAAGTAATTTTCAGAAAATCGAAAACAAAAGCGACATATATCTGCTTATGCGAAATAGTGTTTTATGTACAAAATGATAGTGAAGAAAAGCAGAAATAGTGTAGAACACCCTCTTAATCTCTTATTGAGTGAATAAAAGAGTGTTTGAGAGTGATTAATTTGTGGACAAAAACACCTCATAACTATTTCTTCGAATTGACATGCCAAAGAGTAAAATTACTTTCCTTCTAAATTGTTAAGGCAATCACAAACATAGGGCCGGAACACTCTTGCTTAAAAAACCCATAAACGAATATTTCCCTGAGCTTCAAACCCAAGCAGACCAGTTGCTGGACGAAGACGAAGAGAAGATATGCCTCTCAAAACGTCGGACGCCACCGTAGGAACCTTCGACGGGGAGTTTGACAAGTTCGTAGCGGAAGCGCCCAACAACAAGGCCAATCTCATCCTCTTCTTGGCCGACGTTGATCCCGCGACCAAACTCAGTTGGTGCCCTGGTATCCCCAATTTCATACTCCCTCATCTCATCGACGATTCAATCGTTCATCGTGTTATCTCAGTTCTTGTTCATTCTGCTTCATTGATTCTGTTCTGAATTGTGATGATTAATTCGATAATCAGTTGTTCTTAGTTGATTCTGAGATGCATAATCAGATGATTGTTAAAGTCTCTGATCTTCGCATAATCAGATGATTGTTAAAGTCTCTGATCTTCTAGTTGATGTTGGATCTTCTGTAAGCATTAAGAGCTTCAAATTGCGATCAAGACAATCAACAACTGGAATGCCAATTGCGAGATTATACAGTAATTGATTAGGTTTTTTGTGCCTTGGATTCAGCAACGTTTCCAGATCCTTGATCCTTCAAGACGTTTCGGAATCGTCCGCGGTCGTTCCCATAGGCCAATCTGTCCCAGCAATGGTTCCGGCACACGGAGCGGCTGTGAATAGGCGAATCCGTGCATCCTAGGGTTTTATTAGAAGCCTCAATTTTAGGGCTAGATTGTATGTTTCGCCCCTATTTGTGAACTTCAATAAAAAAATTAAATAGTCTAAAATAATTTTAAAATGAAAATTTAAACTATAAATGCTAAGTTTGTGACCATGCTATTTGTGAACCTAACATTGCTCTTCTCGTTTAGGGGAGGATTTCTATCATTGAATCGAGTACAAAATTCTAGTTTGGGGGTAGATTATATATGGAGTATTGTTCTATTTGGAACAAGTTTCTTGTTGAATGGAAGATGATTATATGGTTCTATTTGGGATTTGCTTCTAGTTTTAGGACCAGTCCTGAAGGTGGGGGAAATTTGCATTATATATTAGTTCATTGTCATTTCGCATTACTGATCATGAAACATTAAATTTAGCATCAATTTTAAAACAAAACTTCTCCACACAAAACAAAATATAAGTCCTGAAACATGTTTTCGCACGTGATCGTTCTGAGTTTTTTCTCATTTCAAGACTGGCATTGGTTTTGGGGATTATATTATTCTCCGTGTTTATGCAATGTTGTACAAGCTTGGAGCTAGGCTCATGGGGTGATTGTATGATTCGGTTTGGTACAAGGTCTTGACGGATATTTGTGACTTTAAGCTTCCAAAAGCACCTGACCTTTTCTGTTGGTTTAATGCATCTGTATTTGTTCAGATTGCGTGAGAGCCGAACCGGTGATATACAAAAAGCTGGAAGAATTTTCCGGTGATGTCGTGTTGCTTAGGGCTTATGTTGGAGATAGACCTACATGGAGGAATCCACAGCACCCATGGAGGGTAGACCCGAAGTTCCGACTGAAAGGGGTCCCCACGTTGATCCTCTGGGAAGACGATGAAGACAAACGACGTCGTCTTGAAGACCATGAAGCACATCTTGAGGACAAGATTGCCAATCTTCTTGGTGAAGTGTGACCCTTATTTTGCTTGTTTGTTCTAAGTATAATAATCATAGCTCTGGTTCAGACATTAAAGAACAAAACCTTTAATTAAAGAACAATGGAATAATTGCTTATCAATAGCAAAAACCTTTTAAATAGGGTGGATTGGGATTTTACAAGGAGAGCCAATTGGGCTAATACCCCACAAGATGTTTGACTGAAGAATTTATATTTAATTCATTTTATATAAAAAGGTTATGCGTATAATTACATATGAAATGTAGTCTATGAATATTTAGCCATAAGCGTCCATATCCATATTCATTTAACGTATTACGGTACAAGTATATGTATATATTTGATGAAAAATAAGTTTAACAAAATGGTTCATTGATACAAACAAGATTCTAAGAGCACTAATAATACCCGTGAAAGCCTCGGAGGTTCAAAACTTCTTTCTCTGTCATGTCAATTTTAATTACCTCACAGTTTCACTGAAAATGAGTTTGAAGTCCTGCGGTTTCAAACTGGAGCTTTAAACCTTTATTTTTTTTACATTTTTAATACACGTCTTCTAAAAATAAATTAAATAAAACTTTATTTTAATTAAATTTAAAAGATAGTAATTCATTAAAATAAAAAATTACATTCAATAAAAAAGAATATTTAGAAAAAAAACATACATTAATAAAAAAAGCCAAGGTAAATTATATTTGGCCTTGATCTCTTTTTGTCTTCTTTCATAAAGCATACGTTTGAAGTCCGATAATGTATGATGTATCAAGGTCGGTTTTCGTTATTTTGACCTCTTCCTTCTCTTACCTTCGTTTCTCCTTCTCTTCTTCCCTAATATTGAACATTTGCAATTGTTCAACCATTGTCTGGCTGATTTCATTGTGAGAGGAAACAGAGCCAGACACTGCAGAATCCGAGGCAATGGATTTTGTCTTCTTCCTTCCGATTGGTCGTGGAATGGGGTCCTCGTTGTCGGAGTCATCCAGGTGGAAGGGAGGCTTTTGTTCCGAAGAGTTGATAGTCTCATCGGTCTCAACCTCGGCCGGGGATATTTTCTTTGACGATCCGGCTTCGGGGTTGTTGAGTTGTTGGCATTTTGATAATTGCTTAAAATTTTCCAAAGATCAGCGTGGACCTTGCCTTGGTCTCTGTCGTCTTGATATTGGGCGGCGGCGGCTTGCCGCAGAACATCGACGTCGTTCGTCTCGATCTTCCGAGACCGAGAGCATTCCTCGTAAACTCTGATAAACTTTCGGACTTTACACTTGACGTGGCCCTATTTGGAAGTGAGTTGGTCTCGGGTTCGGTAGGAAGCGCCAGTGCTTATCACCACAAAGAACTTCCTCGATACGATCTCACATTGCATTCTTTGTTTGCTCATAACTTTTAACAAATATATAATTGAAAGAAAAAAATTAATGCAAATATATAAAAAATAACATATATACAATATATATTAAAAAAACAAATAAAGCTTACCAACGATAGGATGCTCGGAGACTTCAATCCAAGCGGACGCCAAAAATGATTCTTCCTCCGAGATCCACTTTTGAATGGACCGTGCCGCCTCGGTCATCGGCTTGTCGCTCTTCAGTTTGTGACTCTTCCAGTGTGCACTTTTTTGGTGCATTTGGTTCTGGTTGAGTCTCCGAAACTGACTTCGGGTCCTAGAGATTCTCAGAGGTTTGTGTATCATACATCGATGGATTACTGGCGTATGATTGGAAAATCCACATTCCTCCTTTGGCTCGAGACCAGACGAAAGAACGTTAAAACCAAAGAATTCATATTTAAAAAGATGAAAAAAATTTGAAGTTTTTTTTAATTCGAAGAAGAGAGGTAGAGACAGAGAGATGTGTGTTTAATTTTTTTAAAAATATTGAATTTATACAGGGAAGAAAGATTTTTTTGTTTAAACGGCTATAACAACCGTTGGAAGAGGGGCCCATTCATTTTCCATGTTTTAAACGTTTGACGCACTTAACCTAGCGCCCCGATGACACCGCTGGGGGCGGTGTTTAACACTCTAGACGTTAAAAATCGAATAAACGCCTCGAGGCGTTAGGTGTATTACTGGTGCTCTATTACAAAGTATCATGTATGCAAATGTTAGAAGTGAATTAATGATCTCATCAGTATCGCAAAACAATGTTTGCAGCTAAATCATGATAATTTTTTATGGCTTAAGTTAATACTCCGATCCGTATTTATATACTCTCAACATTTTTTTTGTGTGGAATCAATTGAAACAAATAATTAAACTTATTAATACACACCATATCAATTACTTACACAAACTTTACTTCTTATCACAATAATAATAACAACAACAATACGGAGTAATAATAACAACAACAACAACAAGAATAATAATAATACTCCGTAATAATAATAATAATATTAATAATAATAATAATAATAAATACCATTAAACTCACAAAGTGCATGACTAATAGCAAAAAACTGCTACAAAAAGGGTGGATAAAGATTTTACAAGGAAGCCCCAATAATAAATTTTACATATAGCCCAA